GGTTGGCGAGTATGGATGCAGGGATATCGATGTAACTTTGCCGCGAATGTCGTGTTGTGATGGGTGGTAGGGCTCTCTCAGGGACGGTCTTTGTGCTTTCTATCAAGTACCGCTATAGCCTTCTTAGTAAACGGAAAACGCAGGACTCTTTATAACAAAAGAGTCATGGAGAGTTTTCATGAGAAGGGTTCGGAACCGACAAGATTCGAGCCCGGTACTCGCCTTTGCCATGACCCAAACGATTGCAGTTATTGTCGAAGGCCACGCCGGGTACGAGGACGAGGTCGAGGGGAGGAAAGGAGGGAGAGAAGGAGGGAGGGAGGGGGGGCTCAGGGATGCCCCATTTGGAGACTGGGAAGGAGCTCACGTCTTTGGGAGAAGAAAGAGGAAGCATGACCATATCGCCAGGAGCAGGGCCTGTGACCTGGGAGGAGGAAGGGAGGGAGGGAGAGAGGGAAGTAGGGAGGAAGGAAAGCATTTATCCGTAGACATGGCAGGTCGGGAAAACTTTTCAGGCTCGACGTTTTACCTACCTTAGGCACGTAGACATCCCTCGCTCTCCTTTCCGCCCTTTTCCCGTCTGTCATTACTATCTCGAGCAAGTCGGGGAATGTGGGTACCTCCTTGGCTGGCATGGAGAGGTAAAGACTCACACAGGTGCTGTCCTTGTATTCATCCAACGCAAGCAAGCGGGGGAAAAGGCGGCTGACTTCCGCGGCCACGTAAGAATCGTCCAAAGCACGCAAGCGGGCGGTGATGCTCTTTCGAAGATTTTTTTTCTTCTCGGAGAGGGAAGCTCCCGCTTTCGAAGAATTTGCGGATGTCATAAAGGACCGCAAATGGGTAGAGGAAGGGTGGGGGAAACGTGAGAAACAAGTTGAGCCCGACGGCCGCTCGCGCGGAGGGACCAAGGACTCCCAGACTTGAATGTCTTGGAGGGTTATGAATGCTTTTCTCGTTGCAGCAAGGGAGACAAAGGTGTTGGTAGCAATGAATGTGAGTGGAAGGCCGAGATACTGCCTTGCGGGGTTGAAGATCGACGCTAGGGCACCCCACGATCTGAGCATGCGATGGCAAGCCTTATGAAGCCGGTCGATGCCGTACCCAGCCTCCTGAAGTGGACGTGTTTGTGTGGTGAATAGCCTTGACTTCAAGATAGTTCCCGCTTGCTCCGCGTGAAATGCTGTGACTCGAGCTGACACGAGTCAACCTCCTCTCTCCTTCTCCCTCCCACGCTGCGCTTAGAAGAATAGCAGCCTCAAAAATATGGCATCCAAGTACCATAGGATGACAGTCTGGGCACGCGCGATATATAATCTCGTTCCCCAGTAGCCACAGAAGGTGTACTGTGGGATGACACGCTTTCGGATGGGGAACATTGTCGTAGCTGCCTATCGACACCGCCTCGCCCGCAGAGTCCAGCGATAGCAGCAACATGTCCAGTAAATGTCAATTTGTACCCTTTTGATGCCCGACGAAGCCATCCAGCATGATAACGTGTCATCGATCTCACGTAATCTTTCAGCTAAGCCTTTCCCCTCCTCACATTATGCCCTTGGAGGCACTTAACCCCGCCTGAATTTTCCAAGGCCACTTACTGTTCTTCCTCCTACCACCATCTACTCCTTACACTTCACCTGTTCCCACCTCCTAACAGAGCATCTCATGCAATGGCCCCACCACGCCAAACCCCTATGTCATATTTTTCATGACTCCTCCTGCATCGCGGCGCGTGTGGTGGCCTTGTGGCAATCCGCCCTCTGCCTTCTCCCCTCCGCACCCTGCCACTTGCCTCGCCCATGACCCTGACCAAGACATACCCCTGCAATATTTAAAGTGGTGCATCGCGGTAGTCATGCACACGCCTTCCCTCGCGCGTCTGGTGGACGAAGACATGCTGGCACAGTGCCATGCGCTATTTCACGGAAAGCCCGAGCGGCGTTCGTCTGGGAGGGGAAGAAGGAAAGCGGAGGAAAATAAAAAAAAACCGCCAAAGGGCGAGACCCTTCCACAGACCATACCCGCCGGCTGCGATGTGCGTGAAACGCGTGCCCCTACAACGCCCCTATCAGTGGCCGCTGCCCTCATCTACGTCCGCCTCCTCCCTCGGAAAGCTGCCTGCTTCCACTTGACCGACCTGAAAATGCACTGCCCACATACCCGGAGGAACGACTGGCTCTTCTCCCA